TCGATAGAAACTACATGGTAGCTTAAAAGGTTGCCTCCAGAAGCTGTCTGTAAGAGAGACAGCATCAAAATTGATTTGCCTAATATTGTGGGCTGCCCTTAAAATAAGGTAATCTGGATTTTGTGAGGGTAAAAACTCCACAGAGATGTAAATTTCATGTTTGTAGATGGTGTTTCTGGGAAATAAAAGTACCTAATCTTTTTATTAGATTATTACAACTGGGGTTTTCTCCAGCAATGCAACCATAATCAGAAGTACACTTTGCACGAAGTTCATATCCAATGTTAACACAATACTAGCTTGTGTGTATGCCTAAAAGGAGCTAACCTATGCAAACAGGACAAGTCGGAAGCTCGGTAGATCCAACCGGTGGGATGACGGCCAACTCAGTGGATGATGTGTTCTGCACAGCAACTATAAACAGAACATGGCACACTTCCACCGCACCATGGACAACAAGCATTTCCCAAATTTAGCAGCAGCATTGCACAAGATTGATAAACCAACCAACACCTAATTGATAGCATTCGAAAAATATATTTTTTGCGAATAAGCATTCGAAAAATATTAATATCATGTAAAAATATGTTGGTGTAATTTAACTAAAATGTTTCGCATGATTCAAAAAATCGTTCATGACATTAAAAAATGTTTACATGATCCAGAAAAATGTTTTTTGACATTTAAAAATATAACTATATAATTTACAAATATTTCATACCATTCAAAAAAATGTACGTCATATTTCAAAAATTGTTCATACATGTAAAAATATATCCATGAAATTTAAAAAATATGTAAAAAATGGCCTTGTAATATAGAAAAGGTTTCATACCATTAAAAAATTACGATGTGTGTTTTTGAAAATGTTTAACATTTACTCAAAAAAAGTACAAACATGAATTTGTAAAAATGGTCATCATGTATTTAAAAACATATTCAACGTGCATAAAAAATCTTATGCTTGTATTCCGAAAGAAAAATGTATAACCTGTACTGGAAAAATCAGGGGCGGACCTAGAGAGAAAAATGGCCCGGTGTCCTAGCATATGATCACTTATATTTTTTAACTTAAAGATGGGGTGTCACACGCTACATTTTGCAAGAAATTTACAAAAAAAAAAACATCTTGCACCCGGTGTCCTGTGCACCTGGGTCGCTCAACTTGGGTACACCTCTGGAAAAAATTAGACATGTGGTTGAAAATAAGTTTAAAAATAGCGGAAAAAACTATATAACACAACACATAGACACAAACGGAAGGTTCTAAAAACCGTTCCGAGCCGATCCATAGAACCTTTTCTAAAACCGCTTGATGGGCTCGCCGACTAAGGCGAGGGCGCATCCATCCCCAGAGGTGAGAGATGGATGATCCTCTCTTTTTAGAACGGATTTTTTTTAGAATGGTTATTTGACTTCTTTCACATGACACCTCTTGAATGTTGCATAGCTGCTACCATTTTTTCGGTTTTCTGCCGCCGCCATCACCATCTGAGAAATTTAGGCCCCCTTGCCTCCGGTTGCCATCTTGGCACTGAGAGGTCGGGGGACCTCGGATCTTCAAGACCTCTATGTTTTTCGCATCGTCTAGTGATCATCACATTTTTGTGAGAATAAATTTCATCTCGTTCTTTTGGCGGTGCCATGAAATTAGAGAGTTTTCTGTTCTTGCGGATCCGATTATTCAGATCTGAGGAGTTTATGTTGTTGTGTCAAGCCTTTTTTGTTGGTCTGATTCTTTGTGAATGTGAAATATTTCATCGACACCATGGTGAAGATATAGTGATTCGACGGCCTGCACTTCTAGGGGATCATCCCCAGCCCAAGTACGTTCATCGATCAAGGCTTCCCATCTTTTCGGATGGGCGACTTAAGGCGCTTTCAAAAACCATTATTGATAATGTTCGTGTGGGTGATAGATGACAACATCGTTGCTCCAGTCCAACTGCGGCATCTTTACCGAAGTCTTTGGAGTATTTCTTCGAGCAAAAATTGACACCGTGAACAAGGTGTTTTCAAGAGATTTCATTGTAATTCTTAGTCATAGTCATAGGAATTACTTTGTATTTTCTTGGATCTTAGGTCCAAATCAGTAATTGTTATGAGTGTGAATATAGTTACAGGTGTTTCTCAGAAAAAAAGTTGCTACCATTTTCAGGTGGAAAGATCAAAACATACATTTCCTGTATGGCCTCCGCTTCGGTGTACACCCCCCTCCCAAACCGTATAAGGACAGTATGGTCATGTGGCACGTACGAGCTGCATGTAGATGTACACAGTCGATCCACCCGCCCGTCACGATTCACGCCCACCCATGACCCCCCAACCGATCGCTGCCCCTGCCCGCCCGCAGTCGACGTTTGAAAAAATGTTCAAAAAGTTGTACTATTCAAAAAAATGTATGCGACATTTGAAAAAATGTTCATACATATCAAAATGATATCCGTGACTTTTGTAACCTATACATGTTATTTGAAAATAAATGTAAAAGGAAACAGAAAACCGATAAGAAGACGCATAGAAACAAACAGAAGAAAAAGCAAGTGGAAGGTTCTAAAACCGTTCCGAGCCGATCCATAGAACCTTTCTAAAACCGTTTGATGGGCTGGCTGACTAAGGCTAGTTGACGAGCACTCTTTTGGAAGCCTCACAACGATCAACGGCACTTGGCGCGCTCTTAGCCGCCCGCCATGTGTCGCGCTCTAGGCGCTTCCTTCGGATTTTGTTTTTTATTTTTCCGCACGTGTTTTCGGCTTTTTAAATGATTTTTTTCTAGGTTTTTTTATGTTTCGGTTTTCCACCGGTATTCCTTAGCTATTTTTATAAAAAAAATTGCGCAAAGAACGTGTTTTTTTTCTTTCACGAGAGTCACGGTTTTGCTTTGGTGAGAGGCATGGTGTTGCTTTTGCCAGAGTCACGGCCGTGCCTCTCAGAAACGGAAAAAAACGTGTTTACTGTTTTTTCCCTTCCGCGAGAGGCACGGCTGTGCCTCTCGGAAACAGGAAAAAAACATGTTTTCTGTTTTTTTCCTCCGTGAGAGGCACGGTTTTTCTTTCGCGAGAGGCACGGTTGTGCTTTCACGAAAGTCACGGCCGTGCCTCTCGGAAACAGAAAAAGACGTGTTTTATATTTTTTTCCTTTCTCGAGAGGCACGGTTTTGCTTCCATGATAGGCACGGTTGGGATTTCGCGATAGTCACGGCCGTGCCTCTCGGAAACGTGAAAACAACGTGTTTTCTATTTTTTTTCCTTCCGCGAGAGACACAGTTTTGCTTCCGTGAGAGTCACGGTTGTGATTTCGCGAGAGGCATGGGCGTGCCTATTTCAGAAAGGGAAAAAACCCGTGCTCCTGGTTCAGTTTTTCCGTCCGGTTTTTTCTAAAAAAAATCCGTCAAAACTTATCAACATGTGATCTAGTTTTGAAAATCACGACGCGAGGAATCCAACGGCAAAATCGGTTCGAGATTTGGACGCATGATTTAAGAGATAAAACATTTTTAAAACTCCCAGGTTGCGGCAAGTGGCACACATGCAGCGCGCCACTTGTCGCAACCTGGGATGGTGGGAATAATCTTCA